GCTTTCGTCCGACCATATTTTACAAAGAAGCTGATGCATGCTCCTTGTCAGTTCTTGGCGCCGTGTTTGAATAGCTCGGCCGGCAATCCAACGGCTCCCGCCGTTTTGTTGTTCTTCAGGCGGGTAATTGCTATTCGAACTTCTTCCTGGTCGGGATATGGAACGTTTACTCCATCGTCATCGATTGGGGAATCGGGTTCGCCTTCTCCTGGCGTTGTGCGTTCACTGCCATTCAGCAGGCTGAAGAAGGCTCCCTCTATATTTTAAGTATGCTTTGGGCATCGGTGACTAGATCGTCTTTGGGGGTTCTACAAGAGAATGCTCCGGTCTTGAAACTTTCTGTAAGCCGCCGCATTTTTTCGTAGAATTTTCGAGCATTACCCCTGCCGGCCAGCTTATCAAGCTCTTCGTACTCACGCATTTCGGCCTCTTTTTTTTCTGTCTGCAAATGCGTTTCGCTTCCCTCTTCAACTCGCGGTATCTATCCCATCCCGCACATGTTGTGGTCGATAGTAACGTTGCGAGGTAGGCAGCCTGTTTTCTCTCCGCTGCGACACGGCACTCCTCGTCGTACCAGCTGTTCTTCAGTACTTTCCGGCTCAGCTGTACGTAAGGAGTTTGACATGCCGTCCCCCAGATCCCTTATACCGAGTTGTTGTCGAGTGCTCTCAGAGAGCAAGAGTGCAAGCTGAGCAGAAATCGTTCGGCTGCCTGTTGTGACTGCAGCTTCTCGACGTCGAACCTTCCTTGTGTTTGGTGCCGTGCGTTTTTTGCTGCACAGAGGCGCATGCGAATCTTGGCTGCAACAAGATAGTGGTCCGAGTCGATGGAGCGCAAGCACATCTAAAACCGTCTCCAGTGTCTTCCGTCTATCACAACATGATTGATCTGGTTGGTGGTTTTTCGATCCGGAGAGAGCCAGGTAGCTTGAGGTATCTTCTTATGCTGGAATCTAGTACTACAGATAACCATATTTCGAGCCCCGGCGAAGTCGATCAGGATGGAGTCATGTGTAGAAATTCACGCAAGTGAAGAAATTTCTATGATCGCCATTCACTTGGGAGTGGTCAGAAACGATTCTTTTACATATGACTCAAGCAGCTCACGACTTCCGGTCCTTGACCAATTGTCCTCTGGGTAGTCTAAAAACATCCGTTTGAAGGCGAGCTAAAGTGAGAAGGCGAAACATTCCCTGCATAGGGTGGTGCGCTGGGTGTGGGACCCGCCACGTAAAAAAAACCACCCCAATGAAAAAAAAAATAAATTATTAAGACTTACATCCATTTAATATGATATCTTAAATAACACTAATTGTTAAGGGAATTGAAATTTTTTTTATTAAATGCGAAGTACAATCGATACAATTAATACATTCACATCAGAGAGCTGTAACGAGTATGATAAAATCAGAACAAAAACCAAAAACAAAATCAAATCAATTCAGTTCAGCATAGACAACATTGTTGATCAATTCGAGTACCCGCCAGCGTCAATTGATCTCATGCAACGCGAACAATCTGGGGGGTTACTCTGTAAGGCGTTGCGCAAGTGAAAACGCTCGTTAATGAAAAGAAGCAACTCTGTAATTCGACATGCGCAATGAAAATCGCGTTTTGCGCATTTATTTTTCCCCCTCGCAATAACAGCGCTCTGTATTGCGTAAACGACTGTCAAATATGTGCGTTTAACAAATTTTTGATTCGATATCAAACTGGCAAGCGCAACGAACAAAAAATGTATGTTTGTAAGGCATATTTGTAGTTTTAATTAAAAAAAAATGTATTTAACAGGGAACATTCTAAAAATAAACAAACAAACCCTACACAATTCCAAATTTTAATTAATTATATGAAAACACATTCGGAACTTTCTAAAGGACAACTGAAACTGTGGACGCGAAAAATATTGCAAATAATTTATGGAAAGAGTTGGTATGTGACCTTAATGCTGCGGGGCAATCATCGCGCGATGTTTTAAAATGGAAAAAGATAAAAAAGATTAATTATAAATGATTTTTGAAGCACATATTACTTAATTATTTAAAGGTTTGGTCGGATTATAAAACCCATTTGAAAGCAAAAATGCGGCGGAACAAACTAAGTATCTCTGGAACTGGTGGTGGTCATCCAAGTCATTGCTCCTTAACACCGTTGGAGGAGCAGGTTAGTGAGCTTCTGGCAATGGAAATATCCGTCAGTGGAATAAGCGGCACTTTAGAATTTGGTGCAGCACAGTTAACGCAACCAAATGGGTCAGACATCACAACCGACGAATTCCGACAGAATGAACCAACGCCGGTGGATGAAATGCCACATTGTTCACGTCAAAGAGTCGCTCCACAAAAGAAAGAGAGTCTTTTAAATAAGCAAGTGCATAACCAAATCGCTTATCACAAAGGTTCATTAAAAGTGTTGTCTGAAATTAATGAAAAYCTAAAGGTGATTTCAAAATATGTGAAAAAAAAACATAAAATGGGTAAAAGAAAATATAAATTGGCTGTTGAAAAATTCGAACACAAAAAAGAATTGATTTGGACAAAACAAAACGAAAATTTGCAAAAGTAGAACTAAAGAAGCAAATGCTAGAAATTGAACGGCCCGACCAATAAAAATGTTGCATTTTAGTTATTGACATTGAAGTATGTTACTTATTTTTTAATACTTACTGATAATTATTTATTTATTATATTAATAATTTAAATGAATTATTTTACTTTATTAAATAGTGTTATATGTTTATAAAGTACATACAGTTTTTTATTTGATCTCTTAAAGGTTTAGCAATATTGGTTTCATTCGCATTTCCTATTGTTTCAGTATAACTAGCATCGACTTCTTGAATTTCTATTGCTATATTGGCAGGTGATTCCACATTAAAAAGAGTGCAAATATTATGAAGGGCCCAACATATGTTCAAAACCCTCCACTTTTTCTGGGGCATAATGTAGTTCTTTAGCAGCTCAAAGGCATCGGAACCGCGCTTTTAATACTCCAAATACTTGTTCGATAAGGGATCTGGCTTTTGAAAATTTGTAGTTGTAGTAACTTTCCGCAGAGTTTTCAGCAGCATTTCTATATGGAATTAAAAGCCATGGCTCAAGCGGATATCCAGAGTTGCCTATAAGAAAAAAATTATGTTAGCAAAATAAGTGATGCATATAATAGCTAACGAGTAAAATTAATGAATGTGTATATGCTCACCAAGAATGCGAATTCCTATTTCTCCATTCACATAGTTGATTTGTAATTTGTAAATATTGGCGCTCGCTTGACAAATTCCACACATGTGAATCATGACACGCCCCAGCAAACCGACCGTTAACGGCTTTTATCATCATCTTATGATCRCATATCTAGGTTTTGGAAACRATATTTATAAAAAAAAAAACAAAGATTAATTAAAAATAATTTCCTTACCACCATAGCGTTTATATTATGCTTTAATTTCCTATTGAAATATAAATGCTCATTCACTGCCGGTCGTATCATTTGGATGTGAGTACCATCCACCACTCCAATTACTCCCGGAATTCCAGACACTGACTCTCCATTATACATATAACATATGTACATACATGTACATATATACAATCAATGTATTTGAAAGTGAACAGAAGTGCACGAGTAAATCAGTGTTTAGGGAATGATAGACACAGGGGTTCGCAGTATACATATATCTTATAAGAACTTCTACTGGCAGTGGGAAAATAAAATCGGAGGATACCCGCTGTCATTTCCCATAAAAAAGCTACTAAAAGCTCGATAAATTAATAACTAAATACTTCTGAGACATTAAATTTTATCACCGATATGGTATAAGAGATTTTAAAAGAATGGTATGAAAATCGGACGATGAGCATGGCAATTTGTTTATGCCAAACGAAAGTTTACCGCCCAGGACTGTATGCAGAATTTAAGAAATTCTTGAAGCATGTTTAACATTTGTTAAAAAAAGAAGTTACATAACAAGAAACATCTGAGTAAAATGTAAGAAACATGCAAAGTAATTTAAAATAATCACTAAAATAGCGCACACACTTGCGTTACATAATATCTATTAAAGAGCTGCTCATCAAACTTTAAAATTCATATTAGCTTAAATGCTAACACAACACCCTAATTACCGTGAAAGTAGCAAAAAAAGCGTTACACAACACCCTAAAATTTTTTATAGTTGAGTATGTGTTTGTTAACAAAGCTAAGGTTTATTACTACTATTATCACCATTCCCCTTGCCGCTGTAACAGCTTCGCCTACAAGCCAGCGTAAAAATATATGTTTATGTATGAGCTTGCATACATATCAACGCAGATTTTTGCGAGCCGCGGAAAAATAATTTAGATTTGTAAAGTATTTTAAATGGACAAGAACTATGTTGCCACTTTTGTCACTTATTTCTGAGCTTTACGGGTTTGCGGGGTTGACACTTTTTTTGGATTTTGCAAAGGCATGTTCGGGGAGATGTGATAGTGTCTGCTTTTATGAATGACTGCAAATGTGTGTGTATTTAAACTTGTAAAAAGTATATTTTTATTTTTACTCTATTTATCACTATGTATGGATATATGTATAAGTTGAAATCTTTAGGATGATCATCTAACACATATAGATCGTGATGGTCACCATTTTAACTGCAGCGCGCGGGATTGTTGTCGAAAACGAAAGTTGATGAGCGCAGTATGTCGAACGATTTGCTTAGCACGAATTGTGTTGAAAGGTGTCGACGCGGCGAATTCCAATCGTGATTCCTATCCTGTTGTCCATCCTCTTTGTTTAGTCAGCTATGGTGAATTGCGCTGTCGCATTAGGATGCGCCAGTTTTACCGGGTAGAGGGGGTGGATGCTTAATTCATTTAAACATCCTGGGCCCCCTAGGTAAATATTTTGCCTAGTTTTAAATGTATAATTTGGGACATGTAATTTGGCTTACTGTTTGTGGAGTAGCCGAGGGCGCTGAATATTAGCTGTAAGAAGCGATTTTGGTTTTAATAAAGAATTGTATTTTGTGTATGTATTGATGCTTGAGGTAGGAATTGCTTTTGCGTGTTTTGACCACTTATTGTATTATTATAGCAAAAGAGTTGTTTGCTTTTATTAATTTTATTAGCGGTTGTTTATAATTTCCTATTTTATCGGTTTGATATGACAATTGTTTCTTATTTGTCTTTTTGGGCTAATGAAGGATAGTAGAACCACGTCTGGCACAGATGTGGTCAGAATGGATAAGCCTTAGCCCTGAAGTTAGGAGTATGAAATGACTATTAGGGATCTTGCGAGAGAGTGGCCGGTAATTGCGAACGGCTTCATTAGAATTATAATTTTTTAAGTGGGATGTTCAAGTTGTGCAACAGATTCTCACCAACTACACTTATGAGGAGCGATTATGTAGGGGCAATAAGAGCGATCTCTGCTTTTGTTAGTTTTCCTTTTTTTTAGAATTTAGAAAACTACTTATACAGCAATCTTTTATGAGAGTGTCGATTCTCTATCCCTTTGTGACAATTTTGTTACATATTGTGCTTAAGTGCGTATGCATTTATTTTCTCTTTTCATTATTGGCCAAAGCCATCCTGCGGGGCCGCAAAGTTGTATGTGCTTTTAATAACTGTGGCTCTAATGGTAGTCGTACGACGTACCGGCCATTATTCTATTGAGTAGTTGTGGCTGTCGAGTAGTTTTAAGTTTGTGCCCTCTTTTACATAGTTTGCATGAGGATTGCTTTTTCTGTTCGGATATGAACGATTGCATAATGTGAAAGCGTTCCCATAGAAGTAACGACTTTTCTGGTAATACAGTTTTGCATATATTTACCAGAATGGGGTCCCAATTATCTGTGGGAATATTGTGTGTCGACAGAATCGACAAACAATTAGAAATAGTGGATTGTAGTGTTACAAATTCTTCACTTGTCTCTTTCTTGACTTTTGGCAAGTTTAATAGTGTCATTACTTGCTTATCCACCAGTATTCTTTCGTTTTCATATCTAGCTTTTAGAGCTTCCCTAGCCAAACTGAAATTGTAACTTAGGTGATATTGCGCTTGTGATAATTGAGGATGGTTTATGTACACGGCCGTGAACATGTCCCGGAAGGACGGCCATTCTTCAAAACCTCCGTAAAAGATTTCTGTGTCACAGGCGGGCACCTCGAGTTGGATGCCTGAACTTGGCTTTTGACTGTCTATTTGTGGCAGCTCTACTCTACTGTGGGGAGTAGGTGCAATTGCTTTTATTAGCTTTAGTTGATCGCAGATCAAAACTTTTGTTTCTTCATATTGGTCTAAGCAGTTTTCGTAAATATCGTAAGCCGATGATTTAAAATTTTGAGGTAGACCTGGACCCTCACATTCTTCTATGGCGTCATGAGCCGCTTGGAATCGTTTCCAAAAATTATTGATATTTATCATTTTAATTTCTAGTAACGATTCGGAATTTTTGTAAATCGGTGAAGAGGCAAATCTAGTGCAGTATCTTGGTAAGCTGTCGTTTTGTAAAATAAATTTTACAGCCTATTTTGAGCGTGTAGCTCCACGTTTGTTTTGATTTGTGTCGTCATTAACTATTTTTGTACTTTTTTTAAATTAATATATGTATGTCGGTATATAGGCATACCTTAATACTTGGCTTGTATGTATTTTTGTAGGTACTTATGTTTTGTGAAACTGAGAGCTCGTTAGAGAGATCAATTCGCTTTTTTGATTCTTTTCCGTATATTTGTTTATAATTGTTATTGAAATAGTCAGAGAGAGATTTAAAATGGAATTGCAAAAAAAGGTGCGCACTTCTTATGTGTGAATATGCACTTCCTAAATATGTTTTGCTATATACATATGTATATACAGACATAATATATTTATTTTTTTTCCGTTTTTGGGTTTTATTTTATGTTTTCAACTATTTTTTGCCTTTGCTTATGTGTTGTATGCAGTCGTGTTTAAGGCTTTATAACGCATAAGGCGTACTGCCAGAAATTTGTTACAAGTAAATATTCGTTTTTTTTTTTATAATTTTGTGCGACTTTATAACACAAAGGTAGTATTTTTATTTTTGAAAAAATTTTAATAGCCGTTGAGTCGGATTTTAATTATAGACATAATATTAAATGCGACTGTAATTTTAGGCATATACATGCGTGCATAATTTAAATAAGTAATGGACATAATACGCTCACTCTCTTTTCCAATTAGGGTTTTTGGGGATAATTCAGACGTCTATACATATGTATGTATGTATGTATGCATGTGCCTGCGAGTATTCGGGTCGTTGATGCCAACTCCTTCTCCTCCGCTTCCACTTGGCTGTTCCTGGTTTGTAGTGTTTGTAGTTGTTTTTYTTTTTCGTTTAATTTAGTTTAGTTTAAAATTCGCGCCCGTTTTTTTGTTTTTATATGGTTTGTTTTATCGTTTGGCGCCCGATTTTCTGTGTGGTGTTGTTTTGATTTTTTTATTTTTCAATATTTATTAGGTAGACTTATATTTTCACATACGGTAATTTGTACAATTTTTCTTGCTGTTTGTACTTATAACTAATTGTCACCTCGTTTTTTTGTTTTGAACTTTTAAACATAATGTTACTGTTTTATGTATACATATGTGTACGTATATCTTTTATATAGGTTTGTTGCCGCACTACTTTCGTTCTTTGTTTTTTTTTTTTTTTTATTCGCTACTGCTCGTCTTTCCTTAAGGTTTGTAGCCACTTAAAGGTACACCTNTTTTTTTGTTTGCTCGCGCCCGGTTGTTTTGTTTTTGTGTATACTTTATTCTTTAGGCGCGTTTACTTTCGTTTACGATCAATGTTTTGTTCCTAGGTATCGCGCGTCCGATTGTCTGTGTATGTTTTTTGTTTTTTGTTCTGCTGGGGTCACTTCAATTATGTAGTTTATTGTTTTTTTCTTTGTTTGATTATTTTGACACCAAATTATTTGAAGTATATTTAATGTTTTTTGTTTCTCCAATAGTGCCTCTCCGTGAGGCTCGAAGCACCATATTTAAACATGTAACAAGTATATTTTTATTTTTACTCTATTTATCACCATGTATGTACATATGTATAAGTTGAAATCATCTAACACATATACGAGGTGTGTTCAAAAAGTATCGCGAATTTTGTGTTTTTTCAAAAATTATTTATTTATTCATGAATATGTGTCCCCTTCAAAGTAATCCCCATGGTATATTATACACTTTGCCAACGGTTTTTCCAATCTTCGAAGCACTTCGAAAAATCATTTTTTTTTATCTTCTTCAGCTCCTCCTTCGATGCCGTCTTTATCTCGTCAGGAGAAGCGAACGTCGTCCTTTCATGGGCCTCTTCAGTTTAGGGAACAAAAAAAAAGTCGCAGTGGGAAAGATCTGGGGAATATGGTGGCTGCGGCATCATTAGTGTGTTGTTTTTAGTCAAAAAGTCGCGCACAAGAAACGATGTGTGAGCAGGGGCGTTATCGTGGTGCAAAAGCCAATTTTTGTCATATCTTCTCGGCCTTCTGAGAACATAACAATACACCGAAAAACGTTGCTTCGGTCCAAGGTATACCGTATGCCAAAGTCAACATTCGAAATGCATCCGCGCACTTAATTTCGTTTTTCACAGAAAATTTGATACATTATCTTTGATCCATTTTTTGGAATAGGTAAAAATCGAAGACGATCCAAAACGCGTGTAAGCAAAGCAGCTGCCAATAATTAAATGAACATTCAAAATGGCCGAGCTTGTCGGTATAAGTGAGAGACATGAGTACCAACATAACGCCACAAAAAATTTTAAATTCGAATTTACGTAACCCGCGAAAATTCAAAATTCGCGATACTTGTTGAACACACCTCGTATATCGTGATGGTCACCATGTTAACTGTAGCGCTCGGGATTGTTGTCGAAAACGAAAGTTGATGATCGACGAGGCGCAGTGAGGATGCTCGGCTTGTTTATAGTAGATCGAATTCCAATTGTCCATCCTGTTGTCCATCCTTTTTGTTTAGTTGTACAGGTGTGGTGAGTTGTGTTGTAGTAATCAGCTATGGCGAATTGCGCTGTCGCATGTGGAAGGGGTGGATGCTTAACTCATTTAAACAGTGCGTTTTCCTACAAACTTGCGCATAGACTATTTGGCAGCCATATTGATTTGTGACGCTGCTGATGCTTTTTGAGAGGATTGTTGTTTTTGTAGAACAATGTTTGTAGTTTTTGTGAGTGACATATTTATAAGAGTATGTAGGTTTTTGGTATACATTATTTGTTTGGCAATGTCATACACACATATTTTTTATTGTACTGATGGATGCATATGAAAGTTTAAATGATGAAATGTAATTTACATATATTATTGTTGTAATATATAAAGTTTTTTAGGTTAATGGTATCTCATATACATATATAGCATATTTACAAACATATATGAATATATATATATGAAATTATATTATATTCTCMAACTTAAGGAATATTTAATAAATAACTCTTAAACGCACTTTAAATACAAATATTATTTTGAAAATAGCATAAGGTATTTACAATCTTATCAGTTTTGTGTGTATTCATAAACATACCTACGCAAAATGAAAATGAGCTCTGTTGAAATGACTTTAGCATCTTCTCACATGTGTACCCAGTATATACAGTAATAAACCTTTGCTTTGTTTACATACATATACTCAACTGTAGAAATCTTAGGGTGTTGTGTAACACTTTTTTTGCTACTTTCATGGTAATCAGGATGTTATGTTAGCATTTGAGCTACATATAAATTTTAAATTTTGATGATCAACACTTTAAAAGGTATTAAGTAATGCAAGTGTTTACGTTATTTAAGTGATTATATTGAATTACTTTGAATATCTGTTCATTTTTATTGAGATATTACTTGTTATTTAATGTTAAATCAGTTGTTATTTTTTGTGCAATTTTTAAACACGCTTCAAGTATTTCTAAATTTTTGCATGCAGTAGGATCCTGGGTGGTAATTTGTCGTTTGACATTTGTATACAAATTGACAATTCGTTAGCCGTTATAGGAAAACATCAATTGGAAATTGAGTTTAAACAGGAAATCTGTTGAAGTTTTTAATAAGAATACATATTAGTGTTATTAATAAAGTTTATATTAAAACCCATATAAGTGTAAGGAAYTGAACACCTAAAAAAATGGTAATGCACCTTATTACAAACCTCAGGGATGGTAGGGAAAATGCAAAACTTAAAGATTCAAAAATAATTATTAAAAATATTTATAATGTTAATAAAATTCGTTTAATTTCATTGGAATAAAGAGTATATATATTTCTCATATGCCAATACATTCAATAATCTGAAAATAATTGTATGTATACATTTATATGCTTTCACATACTTATAAAGAAATAGATATTGTACCGTTTCTATCAGTTTTATCGTAAATAGTATACGGATGAAAATTAGAAGGATGTATTAAAAATCCAGCTTCAAATGGTTCAATATCTTCTTTCTTCTTATTTCTAGATTAAAATTATTGGTAATAATATTTCAAAAGTTACGCATACAAATCGTTTTATGTTTTCTGTCTCTTAATTGTAAACAAATACATTCAGAAGAAAACTCACCACCGAGAAATCTAAGAACAAGGCTGCATTTTATTAATAAGAACTTACCTACTATATAAGGAATATCTGACTATCAGTAAATGATATTTTAATGGGCGAAACATGACACACTATGGCGTTTAAATCAAATATTAGTAAATATATGTCATTAATAAATAATTTCCTTTTATATTTAGTAACAATATTTATAGCTTTTGTTATTTATTTATTTAATAGAATAAATTTGCTAAGTATTTACTACCTCAATATATACAGCACTGCGTTGCTACCTCTGAAAATTCAAGATGGCCGCTATTCACCCCTCAGAAAGCTACCATGAAAAGGTTATCTACTGTATATACTGTGATGTATACACCACTCTGTCCGGGAAAAACTGGCGCACCGTAGGACACCACCACCACACTCAGCTATCGATAACTGCAAGACGACACCATACACCATCAACCTAACAAAAAGAAATTGGATACGAGTAATAGTTTACGGACAATTCGCCCTTCAACATTCGTCACATACACTTCGCTCACCAATTTTCATTGTTCCGACACCCCACCCGCGCGCTGAAATTAACTCCCGCTTATACACATTAAATCGGATCAATCCTGCATGCGGTGTTTAACAATTAACTCGACCGGGATCCTAATTTCCATTTGGATACGCTTCATTTATTCGAGCGTATCTTGCCATGTAGCGAATGCCTTTATATATTTATCATACATGGTTATTGTTAAATGATGAGTGTCAAAATTAATCTTTTTAATTAAATTAAATTTCAATGAAAAAATTTAAAAGTAATTTTAGTTGACCCACCTTTAAACAATCTCAATTAATATGATTGCATGTAAACGTAGAAAATATAAGAAAAACCCCAACATACGTCTGTAATAACAATATATTATTTCTGAGGATAATTTTCATTGAATGCTCAGAACTGTTCCCGCGCTACTGTTAAAATTTCTCCTTCTTAGCTAGCTCTGGCGAAGCAGGGTCATCGCATTTTGTTACTTTTTAACAGTTCACATTCTTGTTCGTAGTTGGGCCTTATCTGTAATTTACGTTCTCTGGTATATGTATATATAAAATTCTTGAATTTCGATCCTCAGGTTGACGTTTTACACTATAAAGTATTTCCCTAGCTTTGATTCCTGTAAGTAAGAAGAAGAGAGTTTTAAGCGTTACGATGTTAAGCTGCTCAGCTACAGAAACAAAAATTTCATTAGCCAAAATAAGGAATTAGAGTAAAGTAAGTTTGTTATTTTTAAATGTTACTTGCTAAGAGTATACAAAATATTTTTTTAATGGTAAATAGTGAGTCTATTAGATCAAATGTGCTGAAATGAGAATTGAAATCGTGACATATATGGCGGATGGTTCGTTTAACTCAAAATTTGTTTTAGAAAATTTTAAAAATAAAGGTATAAACCGCCTGGTGGATCGGGCGGGAACGTTAAAATTAATATCAGATAAGACCGACCCATTTCATGAGTTTTACAAGAGATACCAAGCATATACCTACGAATAGCGAATGTAGGGAGATTAATAAGTTTTAAACGGTTAGTGTAAGGACTGAAACTGGAGTCCCAATGCAAATGATTTAAAGCAAAAGTTGATTTTGAACGGACTCTAACTTCTATGAATGGTCTTAATTAGGGTTCGAAACTACAGAAGAATACTCTAATATAGGCTTCAATAAAGATCTAAAACTAATTTTGTGGTAAATGGATCTCTAAATTTTTTAGACAAACGTTTAACAAAAATAAGAGGGCCCTTAGCTTTAAAAAGCTTTGAAAAGCACATCGTTTTACATTTTTAAGGTGCAATGGCATGTCGTTTTTAACACAAAAAGAACTCTGTTTGGAACTAAAATTTTCCGCTATTTGGGGTATATGATTAAAAAAGTTTTACATCGTCAGCATATAATAAAACTCTTGAATACTAAATAACAGACGATATGCCATGAAAAAAATAGAACAGAATTGGACCAAGAAGGTTACCTTGAAGAAAGGCTAAAGGAACATTGATTATGTCAGAAAAAGTATCGTTAAATATAACTTGTTAAATTCTATTGCTAAGATAAGAGGTAACCCATTTTAGAAATATTGGTTGAAAACCAAGAAGATGAAGTTTATTTAAAGTTGTGCTGTATGGGAAAATTTCGTTACCCAAATTTCATTAAAATATCTCAATATTTACTCAAGTTACGGTTTGCACAGACGGACAGACATATGGTCAGCCRGATTCCAACTTTTCTCATTACCCTGATTATTTATACATGTGGGGTTCGTACCCTATTGCATTCACCAATTTCGAAATAAGTGTACAAGTTTGTTAATCCACTTCTTWAATTATAGCAATTAAGTACACTTCATTTACACAATATAGTCTCTAAATTCAGTTATAAAATATAAGTAGTTTTCACTTTCACAAACAATTCTTCTTGCGTTATTCACTTTTTAGTTCTCAACCTTTTCATTTACTTGTTGCGCACGTCTATTCAGTTTGATGACCGATTTCTAACTCTTGCTTGCTCGCCGCGCACGTCTGTTCTGTTTGGTGACCGACTTCTAACTCTCTCTGCTTTAGCTCATCGCGATCAGAGCAACCTACGCTGTCCTTTCCGTACTGTCCCTTTTCTTATTTTCCCTTTCTGCCAGGGATGCCATCCCACATACATATATTTATAACCGTATATCTATTTCGCTTAGTTTTAGGTTACGTAGTTTAGATACGTACAACCGTTAAAACTATAATACTTTGTAACAACTCATTTCAATAGCATAAAAATGCAATAAAAAGTTGTATAAGAAAATATGGCAAACGATATAATCAAAAATCACAGCAACACAAATGATTGTCAACTTACCAGAATTCAGTATATCACCATCAAGTCCCTTTGCGTATACCGGAGTTGTCTATTCTGGGCTGTTCCACATGAGATAATTTAAAGGTCGTGGACAAAAATTATTCAATAATTTAGTTTCATTTTTTTTCATATAACAAAAGTGATATATCTACATACAGTAGTGATTTGTCAACAGAAGCTATATTAGCAGCGTAAAGACGGTTTATTGATAGAAGCTTCATTAAATTCGTGTCTATTATGTGCCATAAACGATGATAATATAATAGATGTGTTAACACCAGAACATGATAGGAAAACCAATACTATATATACCCGTTTCGGGAATAGATGTCAACATTTCCTCGTTGAATAAATGGATATAAATGGAAATTAACGCAAAAAATTTATTGCGATTTTTGGAATTGTGGCAGAATTTAATATTTATGTGCACTCCAGCAAAGAAATAAATTGAAAACTCTGGTAGACAATATCAAAGAATATATTATAATATATTGTATTTGTGAAAGATGAGAATACTATGAGAAGGCCTACTAGGTGGCCTCTTAGTAGAGTTAGAAAGATGCCTAGGAAATGGCGCTGTCGTTCGAGTTGTTACATTAAAAGTCGCAAACAATATGGCAAAAAGAACCATATCTAATTTATGTCCTCTTATAAAACAGAGAGACATCATTGAAAAATAAATAAAAATGTCTTTTGTAAATACAATGACACTAAGGCAAAAGCAAACAACAAATGCAAAACATTTGGAGAATAATACTGATAATGCTTTGTATGATAACAAATGGTCATCATCAACTTTCCAAGGCAAAAGTGCCACAGAAAGCAATCTTCTTAAAAATACTACATTTCAGCTAGACTCACTTCGATGCGTAATTTCATCTACCTGGGAATTGTTCATATATTATGATCTTGATTGACATTTCGAAAATTTCACAGCATAAAAGGTCATTGTCAGCTTTTACCTCCGTTAAAAGAAACACGCAAAGTCATATAATTATCACTGAAAAGGCTTTTCGAAAACTTAAGCCACCATCTTAATTTTATTATAAACAATTGCGCTACTCACAACGTGTCAAAAAGCATCGTAAAATCATAAAATCATGAGTTTTTAAACTAGTTTCAAAAAATTGTTGTTGGATTGCATACTAAAATAAGTTTACGCAAATACAACTCTGAACGCATTGTTTTCGAATCGTTATAACTTATAACATTATAAGACTATTGGGGTGCTCATAACGTGTTATAAATACATATTCTAGTTTAAAAAATTTTGTTTTTGGATTGCAAACTAAAATAAGTTGACGCAAATACAACTCTGAACGCTATGTTTTTGGATCGTTATAAGTTATAATTTTATGAAACTATGTGAAGCCCCTATATGTGAAACCCCTAAATATAAGACAGGAAAGAGTTCCATTAGAATGTGTTGGTTCTATTTATAACATGCTATTTGGATTAATGGATACCGATGATTAAGAAGTAAAGGAAAATAAGTTCAAAACATTAGTTTATATTACTTTACAATCACATTAATAGCAAGAGAAGTAGAAACTCAAATTTCTTTGACTAATTCTACTGCAAAGATTATAAATAAAAATTGAAATCAATTTACAATTCTTCGAAATCAAAACACAAATAAACAAATACCAATCCGAAATTATAAAAGGCACAAATAATGGCAAAAGCCATTTCGTTTCAAATTATATTAATAGCAATATGCGTGCAGTCAATTGCTCCTATGATGCTTTTTATACCAAATTTTCTAAAAAATCTGGAATATATTTCAAATAGACTAGTTTAAATTAGTATATTATTATTATTTGCTCCGTTTTTATAAAAGTTTCTACTTGCACAAAGGTATTCTCGCTCAAAGAAAATGGATTGCTATCGTGAACATTTTAAATGCCGAGTACTATTCCTATTCTCAGAATTTGCATCTTCGTTTTGACATCTTAACAACTTATAAAGAAAAAAGTTTATTTTTATTTTTAATTTGTTGAATTTGTGAAGTGCACTGAATAGAGGTGTTAATTTATACAAAATTTATTCTAATTAAAT